CTGCTGACATGGGCCCGGTGAAGAGTTGAACCCCACTTGAAGAAGTGGCAGCTATCCCCCAGATCCCTCGCTGCTGGTGTTAGGCCCCCTCTGTTGGCCCATTCACATTCACAGAGCCACCAGTTTCACAGGTTATTTTATCATAAAGGTTCCTGCATGTAACAAACAATTCAGTGTAACAGTTATTTCATGGGTGCTCACTCACACTGTACACTTTGGTGTATGATGTGTAATTCGAGGTAGTTACTACACTGTATGCAGTAATCTTGCTTCCATTCATTCATGGGTGAGACTGTTGCTAGTTATTCTGATAAGATAGTCACTATTTTTTTGTAAGACTATCGGCAGAAATGAAGAAATTGTACACGCCTCACACCTAGTGTTACGTGGATCATCCGGAATATCTAAACCATTCAAAGAATGTATTTTCCTCGAATTTGTGTGGTCGCGAGCCTGCCAGTGCTGTCCTCACGTGGTGACTCATCCTCCTTTAGGTTGAGCGGCTGCTACGAGGCTCTCGATGGTGGCAACCTGTCCGAGGCTCTTGAGGATTTCACCGGTGGTGTGGCCGAGACGATCAGCCTGCAGGAGGATGGCTTCGCAGGCGATGACCAGAAGCAGTACCGGCTATTCAAGACCATGGAGAAAGAGGCTGAGCGTCTGTCTCTCATGGCGTGCGCGATCGCTGTAAGTGACGTTATATGTTGTCATGCCCGCGACGTCTGTTAGAGACATTCTTCCGTCAGTGGAAATTCAGCATTGATATTTGTGATATTTAGATGACAGATGTGATGCGTGTGCTGTGCAGTGAGGGCCGAGAGATTTCCACTATGTGCGTGAAACTTATTTCGGCAATGCAAGCAACCCATCCATCCTATCGTAGTCGTAGTAATACTAGTATTCCATGTTTTTCTATACATGGCTTGGGATCTCATGTTTGTAGTATACGCTATGTTTCGCATGCTTGTTTGTAGGTATCCGGGGGTCAAGAGATTGAATCTCGTACTAACTCCGGGCTTGTTCGCGGCCACGCTTACGGCATCACTGCCGTCAAGAAGATTTACCTCGGCGATTCTGGCTTCCTTTACCGTTTCACGGGGAAGGAGAAGCTCTACATGGTGCGCATGAGGAACCCCTGGGGAGAGAAGGAATGGAATGGTGCCTTCAGTGACAAGTAGGTTAATTACTCTAATTTAATACATGTGAATGTTCCAGTTTTATAGATTGAGCTATGAACTAGAGATTTTATTTAATTTTATGATATTTTAATTAACTTCAATAAGTAATTTCTGGTACGTTTCACCCATCTGAATTGTACAAATGGGATCATGTATTGTATGTCAATCTTGCAAGCCATTACTCATGCTAGATGTGTTAAAAGGTAGTTGTGGAATTAAAATAATTGTGTGTGGGGTATGTCGCCTTTTTTATGTAGGTTATGTTAGGAAGTAACAGTTGCTAAATGTTTATTGCTGTTGATTTAGTGACCCAGAATGGAACAATATGTCTGAGGCGCAAAGGCAGAAGTTGGGAATGGCAAAAGAGGACGATGGGGAATTTTGGTGAGTTCGTTTGGAATAATGAGTTTTCATGGTTTTTGAAGTATTTTGAATGTATGTATACACTATACAGCTAAATAATATGATAAATAATACCTACGAAAACTAGTGTTAAATACATTTGATAGTTGATGGGTTAATTTATTTAAAATGAAGTTATAATAATGTACAGGAAAAAGAAATAATTTAATTTATTAGTTTTTATCCGTGTTAGTCAAAAACTGACAGTGCTAAGTTAAGTTAACGCCGAGAGTCCACCGGACTAATCGTTACTGCAACCCACTCATCCGTGAGTAAATCTGACAGTTTTGGACTAACGGACTACCGTTAATTTCAAACCCTGCTGTGCTGACTATATGAACTCCCCAAACTATCCTGTGATGTAATAGGGTAATGAATGCTGAAATTGTAAATGAATGTAATTCGGAATGCTGTACTTCCTATAGTTTTGCCCTAACAACTTTTGAAGGCAGGATGGTAAATTAAAATGGTATGTAAAGGGCTCGAATTTCCCTATTGCTAACTCGCATAATGCGTGTCGATATTGAGAAATTGCGAGTAGAAAATATAAGCACTTGCTATTTTCTGCGAGTGGAAATTTATAGCGACATATGCAAAATATATACGAAGGCAAGAACACAATCACACACATGGCATGAAACAATCAGATTCACATACATAAATCACAACATAAGCTCATTCCAACGATTAGTAGTAATAGTATGCCAAAAGTGTATGTGATATTCAAAAAGTAGTTTATGTTGTACAAAAAAAATTGCAAGTTAGAATTTATTTTAGCACGTAGGTTTTTAGGGCACTCACGATTTTTAGGCACTCCACTCAGGGATGGACATAATGACGTTTAACATCGGTCATTTTTTTAATAGGTGTTCTGTGGGCATTTTTTTTTTTAGGATGACAATGGAGGATTTCTGCAAAAACTTTACTGACGTGTCCATCTGTCGTCTGATCAATACACAGTACCTAAGCCTGCACAAGAAGTGGTTCGAGGCAATGCGGTTTGGAAGCTGGACCGGTAACTTGATGGGCGGATGCATCAACAACAGGAGCACGTTCTTGCAAAATCCTCAGGTGCGAGTCTACTGCACAGACTAAACTACGGAAGTTGGGTGTATAATCTGTTTATCAAACCAACCATGCAAAGGTACTAACACACTTGATAGCTGACATATGGAACACATCCAGACTTTAGTCTCTGTAGTATACAAGTACAGTGTAGTGTAAGTATTTGCTTGGTTAAAAGTGCATTTATTAATATCGATTGGATAGCATTGCGGGCTTGCACATGTGAATATTTTGAGATTGAACTATCTTTGTTTCTCAAGCATACATATGTGTCGCTTCAGTTCAAGTTTGAGATAGGCGACGATGAGGATGAGATCCTGCTCTCTCTCACCCAGAAGGATGTGCGAGACACACGGGCGGTCGGTGGCCAGAATCTGCCGATCGGATTTTTCATCATGAAGGTTTGTCTGGTTGAACACCGCGATCCCTTCAGATACTTAGGCGACAGTTTGACTGATTTACCGTTGAGACTATAGCTTTGTATTTAGCAGCCGAAGCATGTCAGGCTGGGGTGGGGGGTAAGGCATGTCATGGTGTGGCATGTGAGTTTATAGAGGAGGGCACGGTTCTATACGGCGTATTATATTATACGGTGTTCACGGTGGTGTGACGCTAAGTGTCGCGTTGCAATCTAGGTTGAGCTGAACCGCAAGTACAGGCTGCACACGATCCACGAGAAGGCCGGAGACTCGGTGTACGCGCGCTCGCGCTGTGTGTTCCTGCGCATCACCCTGAAGAAGGGAACGTACGTTCTCGTGCCATCGACGTTCGAGGCGAACCAGACCGGGGACTTCATGCTGCGTGTGTTCACGAGCAGCACCTCCAACTGCAAGTAAGTATGCGTCCAACTGCAATAGCGTATTTCCGTGACAAAACGTCAAGGTGGTGGTCACACGATGTAGAATACTGTGGAGCGCATTGATCCGAGACCTGATTTGATGTCAACCAATCAGAGTATGTGCTGTTACAGCAGGCAGCGCTGCAAAACTTGGTTCATCATGCTGTTCCTGTGTAAAAAGGTACGAGTTTATTCAGTAGGTAGTGGAGTGTGCAAGATTGTGAGTGTGAGCTGCGACACGCCACACTTAAATTCATGAGAGTTGTACTGTGATATTTTGTCATGTCTGTGTTGCTTGGGGTGATTGAGTAGCAGATTTTTGTGGGTTCACCATTATTTGCATTACTAGTGACATTTATGTAGATTTGTGCTGTTTCTTTTAGTCATACCTATTTGGTTACAGCCAAGTCTGGTAACTTTAAAGCTACTTTACTCTGTCTACTCTTCTTCTATTACAACTGGTATTTTTATCTTGTATAATAGTTGTCACTAGTAAAAACATCTGTTCTGTGTATGGGTTTCGTTCTTGTGGTAGAATATGGTTTGCTAAATTAAAACAGTTTATGTCACATTCTAAAAGTAATGTGAGTGAATGAAATGTGTATTATCTGTGTCAATGTTTACACATTGCTTCTGTTCATCTTCCTTAAAAGTAGCTGATAGTTAAGTGGGAAAAGCGACCTGATTGCTTATGGAGCCGCCAGTCGTATTGTGTGATTGGTTGCCATTTGCTTCAGAGAGCTTGTATATCCACACCCGCAGCCTGGCTGCTTCGCTTGCCTATCTAAAAGTGCCCAGGGTATGAGTATTGTCACAGTGGTCAGGGCACGCGGACTCGAAAAGCTCAACTGGACTAATTCTGGAGGTACATTCATTTGTGAAAACAACTGCCCTACTCCGCACCAGTGTCACCTCGTTGCATTTAGTGGTTTTCATATACGTTTTCTTTCGCTTGCAGTAATCCTTGCCTTGATACTTGCCGTGATACTTGCCATGATACTTGCTGTGATACTTGCTGTGATATTTGCTGTGATATTTGCTGTGGTATTTGCTGTGGTATTTGCAGTGCTACTTGGTATATGTATAACAGCTTGGAATTGCTTGGCTTATGAGACATATGAGGAAATGTCTCCGTGTGTCCATAGGTTGCAATATCATGACTAGCTAGTTCCTTCAATAAATGATTACCAATACCATGTAGAAAAGCGCATTCTTCCCCATTTTCCATCCCCGTGATCATTTTCCCTTACTCCTGTTCCTTAAATAGGTTATGATTCCCTTTCCCGTCAGACAAACAGGATTTTGTTCCTATTTCTGCTCCACAAACAGGATCTGATTCCTTTGATTCTCCTCATACATGGATGCAGAGGCACTTATGATGCACTCCAAGCCTCTGTTTATGTGTTTGCTGCACATCACTTGCTATATTGTTGAATAATTATATTACACATCTCTAAAATTTAACTGTATAATGTAGCGACAGCTGCTGTCACAATTTCCTGCGTTCGCATGCGTAATCCCGCTGCTACACATAATTCCAAGTGTGATATCGTTTGCAATAATATACTTTTTACTGTCTTGTGTGTGTGTGTGTGTGTGTGTGTGTGTGTGTCTATGTGTCTACGTGTGTGGTGGTGTATCAAGGAAAGTTACCATCTGCTGCCGTAATGTGAAACGCGGATTTTGCTAAGCCAGCATGCTGCATGTCTGCATTAATTCTGTATTTCTAGAGAGTTGACTCTGGACCATCCGCAGCCTAGCTGCTGGACGTGCATCAATGCCCCGAGTTGCCTTACTCTCGTAACGTGCATGTCTGCCACTGGCCTAGAAAAGCAAGACAGCGAAGGAGGTGGGAGAACAACATCAATATGATCATAGCATCGAAATGCTTTCTACTTCTATTCCTTCATGCTTTCTTGGAACTGGTTGAAATGCTTGAATACTTTCTTTTCAGAATTAAAATTCTGTACTTTTTATGTAGATGACTTTATTTACGGTGATATATTTTATCTTCCCTTTAGTCTTGAGCATAAATCTTTTTAGTATTGTTGAAACATGTAAGCAATGTAATTCCAATTAGCTATCATGAACTTTGATTGATTAACTTGTAACGCTCAAGGCATGTTTTCTCATAGTCAAAACCTCATGTACAGTCATCATTAAATGGTCCCTGCTTCACTTCGTTATGTTATAATTACGCGTACTCATATTTATATGGATCAATTGGCAAGATTTTAAAGTTTGTTGATACTGGGTACATTTCGAAGGTAAACTGGCAATTTCATATTGATTTTGCAGGAGCTGATCCCTACTGCATTATCAACTGCGAAGGGAAGAAAGTGACAACACCTACAGTGCAAGATTCTACCAATCCAGAGTGGTACAATGGATCTGCAATCTTCTACAGGAAGAAACTGCTTGAGCCTATCGTAATTGAGGTAGGGCTTGGGTACCTCTTTGGAGCAATCAAATCTGTCGTAATGTCTTGTGTGTGGGGGGGGGGGGTTCGCTTATAGACATAGGATATGTCGTATTAGAAGAGCATTACCAATGCATGTGCACTGATGTCGCATGTTTTAGCACAGCAATCTCGACTACCCCTTTTTCTAAAAATATTTAAGCACCGTATCAATCCGGGAAATCTCCCCTGCACTAGGTGTTATCACATATATGGGTCCTGAGTGGTTTTCCCTTCATACAGCAGATAATGGTATTTCCGTATAGGTTTGGAACAAAAATGCCATCATGGATCAGTTCATGGGTAAGGTGACGCTGGATGCACCTGTGGACAACCAAACCCGCGTTCTGGAGATGCAACTGCAGCCAAAGAAGGATGGCGATCCAGTGAAGCAGGGCAAGCTGACAGTGAAAATACAAACGCACCAGGATCTAGACAGTGTTTAAACCAGGGACAAGTTCTTGGCCTCTTGCTGGATGAGGTTTCAGTGGTGAGCGAAGATTTGATGGAATTGTTTACTGACTGAGTGAGCGTTCCAAAATCTTCAGTGGTGATGATGGTTTCTGTTGGTGGGTGAGTGTACGCTCTTCACGTTTATTTGCTAGCTTGATCGCTTACGCATAGTATATGTGGGACACATATATACATATATATATTTATAAGTGAATGTCTTCCATAAAGATCATGAACACCTTTTGAAAACACACGCCGTACATACAGGCCTACTCTTTGGTATCTAGTGTACATGAAATTGTTGTGCAGGTAAAGGTGGTAACTAGAAAAATGAAGTGGTGCAGTTAAATGAAGATTTTAATCAAAGCTTCAGCATCTTACAGCCAACTGCTTTCATACTAACTAAGTACAAATGCTAGGCGTTTATCTCAACAAAGTTTATATTATTCATTAAAATGAAAAAGGAAATCGAATATCTCACCTACTACCTATGACAGAGTCTATTAGTAGTTATTATATATTCATATTAGTCTAGTATTGTTATATGTAACTCTTATGTCAGCATGGTATCAGAAAATGCTGTAATGGTCTATACCAGTTATACCAATGCTTGGGGATTTAACCAATTAACTTCCAAATCTGTAATTTGCTGTGTGTTTTATCAATTATCTTTTATTTGTGTGTCTTATCTTTTATCATTGTGTGCACCCACAACAGTATTTAGAAGCAGGCTTTAGAAAGGTTCTATCAAATATTTACACCATTAATGTGGTACTATCAGGAGTCTATCAATATCTATCAGGAGTCTATTGATAGACTCCTGGTAATATGTTATTAATGAGCAGTGATTTATATAGAATTGAGGACGTGTTATGTATAAATATTTAAGTGCTTTTAAAGAAAATCTTTGTGCAAACCTTCACGAAGGCAGTTTTATTAGTAGGCTCGTGATGTTGTCTGACACATCTGTGTTAGCATACATGTGCTGTTCCTAAGATGGAATTCCAGCTCTTAAACGTCTTTTCTTAAAAAACACTTCACTGTGGCGTGTGTGTTTGTTACCTCAAGTGTTTTATAAAAGTATATATATATATAATGCCTTCCGGCCTATTTTTGCTAAATTTAATGCGTGTGTGTTATGCAGGCTTGTGACAAAAAGTTGTTGTCTGTTGATACCATTGTGCCTTAGTCTAAATAGGTCTATGTACTTCTTCAGAAATTTACATATGTTATACACGAGGTTACACTAACAGTTGTTGATAACAATAACATAGCATAGTAGTGGCTTGTAGTCACACATATATTGAGTCCACATATCTTTATAACTGTTTTTTTTAAATATAGATAATATACACGTGGACAAAATCGTTTGACCACATATAAGATCTGGGGCCCGTTGTCAGAAACATCGTAAAGTTTAATGCTAATGTTAAGACTAATGTTAAGACTAATTTTGTTTCTGGCAACGGGTCCTGGTCTTTCTGGGCGTAGGATGCTAGCACGTAGTTGTGTTACCGTACGACGCTAGCCGAAAAATTTCGGCTATCAACTTCATAGTTTTACTTCATTAACTCGCTTTTAAAACTACTCTCCTCTGCCATTCCCCCTGCTCCTGTCATTACCAGAAGCATTTCTGGGAGGCTTAATTGCCTTGAGTCGGTCTTGGCGTTTTGTTCTCTCATTCGTCGTTTTTTTCACGTTGGCAACATTCAAATGTAACATCGCTAAGCCGATATAATTGCATTGATGTGGTTAAACATAAAAGCTGTTAGCTGCGAAAATATCAGGATAGAGGGCACTGCGTTGCATGGACCGTTGAAGCGCTGTGAGAGCCAACACTCCATTTACCCGTTTTCTCCATTTATCTCATCTTTTTCGTGTGATAGTCTGCCTGCCTCAGTTGTTTTATAGGGTCCTCGTGGAAAGCTAATGAACAAGGATTATGCTCTAGGAGCATCTCACGTGTTTCTGTAGCCGTCTTTTATAAGCTTGAAACAAAATTTTGTCTTTCCACATTGACGTTATACACAAAAGTGCCAATATAACGCCAGGAACCTTCACCGAAAGCAGTCTCACGGTGTACTCGTGTATAGTAAAGGGAGAAATTGTTGCGTGCTGGTATGTCGTAAGGTTAGCCTCTGATACACTCAAGCTTTTGCACGCGTATTGCTCTCATGAAGAGTAAAGGTTTATTGACCAATGAATCGAATGAATCACACGTTTCTGAAGGCTGATAGATTCTGGCATAATGAATACCGTGAACAGGTTGGTTGGATCATGTCCGTACATTTCACAATAAATGTACGGCACTAAAATTTACGGCACTAAATTATGGCAATAAATGTACAATGCACGGCACCTTTTGAACAATGAATGTCTTCTATCGGTTAAGATAGTGGTTGAATTTCTGATTCGAATCAGTTTGGTGTAGCTCTGTGAGGGTAGCTCAGTTACATCTGTTTGATAGCTGTATTTTAGAAATAGGTATTGTATGGAGATCACATGTTGTGTCCCGTGTGGAGTTGAGAAATCGATTTTTATATGTGCCTTTATTGTAAATTTTTGTGTTTGCCAATTTTCTATTTTGTTTCGCATTTGCTCATTGAATTTTTTATTTTAAAGTTTTATTCTAGTATATGTTTAGTAAAACGAAAATTTTAAAGTATGATTAAATAGGACAGTGGGTTGTGACATTTTGGTTGTGAACGTGTTTTTGCTATGGAAGCATATTTTACAACGATTATATCGTAATGACAACATTTATACCGTTATTGCATAATAACATGAACTTGTGTTCTGGCTCGAAACGCCCTGAATATCACGTGTAACATATATAGCCTATCTCCTACTTGATAATGGATTTTGCTGTGCCTAGAGTTAGCAGTTGCAACTTGCGAGTATGCGTTTGAAACGGGTGAGTAGTCGTAGAAAGGTGTTAAAAAAGAACGAAACTTGTTGTATCGTTGTATTGTTGTATTGAGGTGAAATATGGGGCGCAACCGTGACATATAGACGCGTAAACATGGAAACGAATGTGCGGACTATATGATCACTTAAAATGAAATCTGTAATCTAGTTCTGATATATGAAATAACAAATGTGCGGATTATATGACTTTTAATGAAATCTGTAATCAAATTCTGATTTATGAGCCCTTTTCGTGGATTATGACGCATATATCAATAATATCAGGAAGACATGGAAATCATCATGTTCCTGACATTATAACCATGTTTCCTGTTGTCATGCATAATGAAACCTTGAGCTGATTTAATCGCAATCAAAGTGCCTAGTTAGAGAGCATACGCTCATGTATGTGATTATGTTAGGGGCTGATGCGGCAGTGACGTACTCTTTAGTATGTTGTGGGAACTTCATAGTATTATATTATGCCCCAACCGTGCCCAGTGCGTTATGCCAATGTCTTGTAAGTCGTTATGCTGGTTGTCAGGTATGTTGACACCATATAGTGACGTTATTTATTTCAAAGTAATAACCCGCATGTATCAGAAATCGTATTTGGAAATAAAGTTTGGTAGTTTAATTTTTAAAGTAATTCCGTTGAGTTATGTATTTCACCGAGTGCTGTGTGCGTTTATACGGGTTCCCTTGTTTTTTATTTGTATGTTATGTGTCTGTAAATGTGTGCGCGCGTGCATGTGTGTGCATTTATATGTATGTGTACGTGCGTGCGTGCCTGTGCGTGCGTGATTGTTCTGTGCTTTCAGTTGATGGAAACAGATCTTCTCGTCAAAGATTAGTTATTGGAGTTGTGAAAGCATAACATTGAGTTAGTGTGAGAATACAGCGTATATCAGTGCCACAATGAGAACAGTGTAATCCGCTTTGATTGATAAACGCACTTAGCACAGTTTCCTTTAAACCTCGTTAAAGATCTCAAGGTTTCTCTCACGTTTTGACATAATTGTAGATCTAGTTTCTTCTAAGATTCTCACATTTTCTCTTGATCTACATTTGCGCCAAGGTTCTGGCAATCCTAGACGATTTTTTTTGTTTGCGTAGGAGCCGCCAAACCCCCGTACTTGTTATAGAAGAATTGAAGGGTTATGGGACCAATGTTCCAGGCTAGTTCGTATAAATTGGTGTTTTTGTCTAGTTCTTATAAACGCCGCATGAGATATTAAACTCGCTTTCTAAACCGATTTCTTTATAGATATTCGTATCGGTTCGTATCGGTATCATTGTCGGCAGGCAGACCCAACAAATTCCACGCTAAATGTTTGTTCAGAGTCTTCTCCTTCCACGTGAGCAGTATGACATCTGTCTAGTCGTGGCAGGCAGCACGATTAGACGCGATCTAGTTTCCGCGTAGGGATTTTGTTTTAATAACCGCCATCTTCATTTTGGTGGCGGTTATTTCATTCAGTGTTATTTCATTTCATTCATCTTCATCAACGCATTACATCAGAATGCAGCAATAGTTGTCACGAATCCAAGAGTGGGTGAATAGTGCGGCGAGAGCACAGGGGAGGGGGGGGACAATAGCTGTATTTAATTCGAGGCAGTCATGACTGCCATGATTATGCGGGGGTGGTTAAATGAGCCACTTTCACGGTGTTTCGTTCGGCTGTGTTGTGTGACGAACACTATAGCTGTTTGTGCCCCTTCATTCCATCCCGCAGTCACTATATACTCGCACGTACTGCAAAATGCATTTAACTACATGATTGCCGTTGACTCGTTTAACATTGCGAAAGCATCGCTTGTTCCCTGCGCTGCAATCCGTGATTACTTAACGCATAAAACAACATTTTTCTTATAATTATTAGCTGAGATTTACATAAAAGAGAAAGGAAGATGGAGGGTGAGAACGCGACTGAAAAAGAGAAAGAAGGAAAGCAAATAGATGGCACCAGAGTGAGAGAGAGGGAGAGAGGGAGAGAGGGGAAGATAGATAGGTAGATATATAGATAAATAAAGAGAGAGAGAGCGCGCGCGAGAGCGAGAGAGAGCAAGAGTGAGTGAATGAGTGAGTGAGTGAGTGAGTGAGTGAGTGAGTGAGTGAGTGAGTGAGTGAGTGCGTAGGTGAGTGAGTGAGTAGGTGAGTGAGTGAGTGAGTGAGTGAGTGAATGAGTGAGTGAGTGAGTGAGTGAGTGAGTGAGTGAGTGAGTGAGTGAGTGAGTGCGTGAGTGATTGAGTGATTGAGTGAGTGAGTGAGTGAGTGAGTGAGTGAGTGAGTGAGTGAGTGAGTGAGTGAGTGAGTGCGTGAGTGCGACAGAAAGACACATAGTCTGTAATAGAGTTAGGGAGTGAACAACAGGAGTGGTAGAGTGAGTGAAAGGGGAGGGGGTCGAGGGAGACAGACGAAGTCTGTGGGAGAGCGAAAGAGAAAGCGGTGGTAATAGGAATGGAGAAATAGGAGTATAGTCAGTCGTAGCTTAACGCTGTTGTGACCTACTAGCCCACAAATTAACGCAAAACTGCATTTCATACACCTGTAAGCGCACCGGGACGCCGTCAGCAGGTAGAGACAAATTATACCGACGGTAATTTAATATTGCATTACCGATCTGCGTATGCACACGCATTCGTGATATTTCTTCGTAGTTAGTAAATTGCTGTGCATGCAGCTAGGTCATCATTTTGTGTAAATTTTTTAGCCTGAATGGGCGAAAGCAGTCTGGTCACACCTGCGCAAGGCCTCCTCCAACTGCCGGAACGGCTATAGTCTGGAAGATGTACTGCGCTCCGGAGGCCTTAGCTCTCTCCACTCTCCATGCTATCTAAGCGAATATTATAATATATATATATATATATATCACCTATATAATCTAATATACATAAGTAACAGAGCTTTATATTCATACCCACATACATAACATTCTATTGCTATTACAGAGTCAGAGTGATATCGTACCACTCATGCGGATCAAAAATACACACCTATCTAATCTTAGTCTCTAACGCCATATATTGAGAGAGATGACACAACCAAACATATATTTGTTCTATAATCTAAGAATATACCGAGCATACCCAAAAATTTCGTGGACTATGCGTGAGCTTAAAACTGAACCACCGTATAGCGTCGTATCATAAATATGGCGCAACGTGACATACATGGTCAAGAAAGTCGAAAGAAGGGCGTTATTCGACCCAGCCCTGTCTAGGCCCGGATCTGCATTTCAGTGGGTGCGTAACTATATATTCCACGCCCCTAGTTTCCTTACTGGCGCATATTCTGTAATTTTCAGTCACAATGCGTCGAAGGACCTTCATGATCACCAGCATGTAGGCTCCCACGGGGTGGAATTATCATCTCCGCGATGCCTAACAAGTGCAACACGTCTCAATCCTCGCAATCAGTCGTTAGTTGCAGTCAAACCTGCGCCTACATGTAGTGATGCCAAATGACCTTGCATAATGATTTGTATTCATATTGGTTTTAAGCAATATAAATGTCACCCTAAATTGAGCATTCAACAGCTGCCGGTCTCGAAGCAACAGACTCCATCGACCTATACGATATCATTGTCTTTCTCCCCCAACGTCGCAGTCAATTATCATATACATACCTGCTCAACGTCTCCGTAATATATATATATATAGTAAGAGGTTTCGTTCTATTCGCAGACAAATAACGTATTATTTTTTTCGGTTAGACGCTATATATATTTGTGTGCGTGCGTGCGTACGTGCGTGTGTGTATAGTGAATAATTGATGTGTATGTGTCTGTGCGTGACGTGGCGATCGCGTGCGTTGCCCGAAAGTGCGACGTCAGGCGTACGCGTGCATGCACTGGTTTCGTATCTTCTAGCTTCTTGAACAGATTCTTCTGTGTGTGGTCAGGAGTGCGTCGCTTGTGTGGTGTGTGTGTGCTCGTGCAGAAGCATGTGTGTGTCGTATGTCCCTGTGATGTGAAACCTGTTATCTT